TTAAATAGCTATATCAAATTTCAACTTCGATTCCTGTATTTATACATACTGGGCTAACACTGTAAAGAATTACCACAATAGTTCAAGTTAAAATATTTACTTCATTCAGCTTGTTCATTATTTTAGTTTGTCAGACATTCTGCTTAACCTGATTACTGTTCCAATTTCTTTCCCAAGTTTTCAACTGGAGCCCTGAAGAGCAATGATAGTTCTGTATTTGAACAGGGAGGCTAGAAATCCTCTGTCTACCTATCCATTTCTTTCTCACAAACTGGTATATTTGTTTCTTGCAGCAGAGAAGAATCAACATGTTTAATGGAACACTGCGCTCTGGAAGATGCAATTTACGTTTGATTTATTTTTAAAATCAGAGCTCTGTCAAACTACTTCAGTATTCTCTCTTGTACTAAATCAACACAGCTTCACAATCAATAACTGATGCACTGAATCTAATAATTCATGTCTATGCAGTCTAGATTCTGATTATTTGCAGAAGTCATTCCATTAATGAATACTGAATTCACAGCAAACTGCATTGGTACCAGTTTCAACTCCTCAGAAGTCTCGGTGTTGCCAGGATTGCTTTCATTTTAAAGGACGTGCTCTAATCAACAGAACTGTCATGTACTTTATGCTGTGGTGCAAAGGATGAGACAGGGAATCCAATAAGTGATAAAGCTGATGTTAGAAAACTGGCCACAGAGCTCACAAGAGTTGCAGAAATACTATTTCACGTATTTAAAAGCAAAGGGACAATTTTTCAAAGAATTTTGTAATTATCATCATTTGATGAAGAACAAGGAAGGCTAAGGAGGGAAGCAGAGAGGGTGGAGCAAAGGAGGGAGAGAGAGAGAGAAAGGATAGGGGAAGAATGCTGCGCTAAATTTATGAGGATCAGCAGGGCTCTGAAGGCTTAGACACGCCATTTAATGCTGGATTTCCTGTTGAGAGACAATGTTGTATTATATCTTTTGGCCTACTGCTGAATCCTGTCCTGAAGCTTGAAATGTCATTTAACTTTAATTTATACAGCCTCAGCATATAGAGGCTGTATAATCAAGACTGCTTTCTAAAAAATAAATAAATAAAAAGACTGAAAATTGAAATCACATGATTTAGTAAAGTGCTTTATAATCTTACTGACAAACTCTTTAAGAATATGAATCTCTTGCTGCAAGGGATTGTTATTAGAAGACATTTCACCCTCCCACAAGCAGGCATTATTTCTAAGGAAAGCTACATCCTAAATGATGTGGGATGTGATTTCATTTTACCCACTCATGTTCAACTCACAGTTTCTCTTTTTAAAAGTCTTCTTCCATTATGATTAAAACTTAACAAATTTTTTTCTTAGTCAGAGAGAGGATAGTACATCTCACACACACTGCAACAAAGAAATAGAACAGAAATATAAAGGAATGGGTGAAAATAAAGCACTTTCACTCCTAACAGTAATAAATAAATCAAAATGTGTTTTCTTCTGAGAAGTTGCATTGATAATAAACAGATAAAGAAAAGTTGTATCCCCATCCAAAAAAAATGTTTAAACCTGCAAGATTATTTAACAGATTGATGCTCATATTTCACTGCAATGCATTCCCAGAAATTTACCACTTTAATGTGATGTGTCTGGTTTTCGTAGGTTTAGTGGCATTGAGTGGTGACAGGGAGGGTTGGGCAGCACACCATGGCCTTCTGCTTTACATATCTTCTAGGGAAGAAAGCCAACAAAATCCTGGTGGCGGGAGCTCAAGTGCTCACAGTAAAATGTTAGATGAGGTGAGTCTGCCATTGAGTCAGAAAGGAAGACTGGATGACCCTGAGCTGACATTGTCATTTTAGAAACAGGCACTGCTTCTGTTTTAGAAGACTGCTCTGTGCATATGACCCAAATGCTTTAAAGATCAAAAGAATATTTTAAAAAGAGACTTTTTTTCAGAATTTTTTTTCTTTTTATTTCAGGTATAGAAAGTTTGTATTTTAATTCTTTTCAACTATGCATTTATAATTGTATTTATTTGTCTTTCTTTTCTCAAATTTCCATAACAGTTACTAGAGATTATAGTTAAAGCAGTGCTTGCTCAAGGTTATCATTACTGAGTATAAATGATAAGAAAGAGGTGATCTTTCTTGCTACTTGGTTTTAAACTTTAGTTTACTTCAGACATGACTATTAAATATGATGTGGTTGGCAAACTGGCTTTCTTCTGAAACTGTAATTCAGAAAAATATTTTGAATTAATCAAAAACAGAGTTTTCAAAACATAGCCTTGAATTCAGAAATCAACTATCTGAATTAAGTTACTTATAATTGGCACAAATACTATTTACATTTCTCTTAGGTGTTTCATAGGCATTGACTGTGACCGTAGTATTACACTGTGATTTACAGAGTGCACATAAGAATGCATGGCGTCTAATGCTTTGAAAGGCCACAGAATAGACTGGGGCACGGAAGTTTACATCTTTGATCTGTGTTAATTTCTTACTGTTCATCAGGAAGAATCACGACCCTTATCAAAACTATGGTTCACTCTGTTGCTGAATCAGCATCCTCGGGCCAATGCTGTGCCTGTGCTGCCGCTTAGTGGACATATTTGGTATTAAAATGACATTTTCTGGGAGTGCTTGGAGCTCCATCAGTTGCTGCAAAGTAGGTTAAGAGACACAGGAAACAGCAATGTGACAAGAAATTTGCCAGATCTATGAACTACTCCTTCAGTATTTGTTGATATGGGAAATCAAGTAAAAATCAAGACCTTCACCTTGTGGGTGATTCAGGATTCACATATTTAGCAATTAACCTTTCTAGTTTCAAATATTACAATCCTAACAAGAAAAAAAAAAGAAAGAAAGAAAGAAAGAAAGAAAGAAAGAAAGAAAGAAAGAAAGAAAGAAAGAAAAATCTTTCTCATATTACATAGTATATGAGCTTCTTTAATAAGGTGCCAGGACCTTAACTCTATATCTAGTATATCTATCCAGAGAGAAAATCTTTTTTTTTTTCTACAAAGAATGTTGTAGGTTAAAAATCTAACAGTGAAGCAGTAAATTCAAAGTCTGCATAGACACTTATTAACGAAGAACTAGTTTTTATAAAGATCAGGGAGCATCACCTAGAGCATTAATCAGACACCAGGTATATTAACCAATAAACTCATGTATGTATATGCAGGTGCGTTGTCCCATGGTTTGGTTTTGGTTTCCCATTTCCCTGCCACCCCCACCACCCCAACACCTCCAATATCAAAGGATGTTGTATGTAATTCTATTCTTTGGAGTCAGGGAAAGCCTATGCATTCACCAGGGAAGACAATTTGTTAACAGCTAAATATTTGAAATAAAAAAAGTATCTGATATGAAGCCAGCGGACAGTGGATCAGACTTTAACAACACAGCCAAAAGAAGGAAAAAAAAAAGGTGAAATCAAGAAGCATTTCTCTATCTTTTTACTCTGAAGATGGTTTGGCACTGATGTCCCCATCAGCCACATACACAGGATGTTTACATTTGTTCACTCTTCAATCATTGGGACTGCACAAATAAACCAGTACATCCTCTTGTACTGCACACTGAATATATATGTGTCACATTTACTACCCTGGGGTACCGATTATCTATGCAACTTATCATCTACCCATTTCTCTAAGACACTGCTTCTTCCTTTTCCCTCCTCATTTTAACTAAAAATGAACATGCAGCTCTGTCAATGACATAATGTTTTCATGAAAGTTCCACTAATTAAAAATCTTCACCATACCAGACCTAAAAAATGAGCACACTCTTGCCAAGTGTTATTCACCACAGAGAAGCTCTTGTAGCTACATTTTAAGAAAGACAGAGAGGGGGATGGTGTGAAGGGAGAAAGTCTCCGAACATATGCATTGAAGTATAACAGTTGTGAGCATCACAGGGGTAGATTATTTTTAAAATAGATCTTTCCAGAGAAAAAATGAGAAGAAAAAAAAATAATTCATCTCCAAAGAGCTGAGAAGTAATGGATGTGCAGTTTGGGATAATAAAAGCTTTTACTGGAATGAAAGACCACAATTATAGGAAATACATCTGCTTTTTGAAAGCAAAAGATGATAGGTCAGTTTTAAAATGATGCTTGTCTCTGACTGTACCTGTAGACTCCCTGTTTTTAATGATAAAGAGATAGTTGGTTTTTTATTGTGGTGCTATGAAAACATTTGCAGACTACTGCCTCTGCCCATACTTACAGTGCCTTCAATAGTTACTTGTTGGGGACATTCATTTAGACTTGCAATATGCTGCATTAATTTAACACCACATAAAATATGGATTTTATTGCAGCAAAGACAATAAATGGTGCAGCAGCTGACTACATACATTCCATATCCCCTTTTCTGTCCCCCTCCTATTTCTGACTCATAAAATGTGAGCATAGGAATTACACTTATCCTATTTCTGATGAATGTCAATCTACTGTATTTATGTAGACGCTTAGTGACCACTGACAGCTTCAAGGCATCTATCTTCTGTCTGTCATTTCTATTTATACTGAAGGTACAATGAACAGTGACTGTGAAGAAGTGCAGAGTGAATCCATTCATATGGAATGCAAAGTAATGTTCGATGATGCTAGAGTTCACAGCAATAGCGTGATCTGCTAAACTGATTTTAAGACAGAGGTAAACAGGTAAGAGCATGACAAATTACACCCCATAAAATTTTTTTGCAATTGTTCAGAATGAATGAATTGGAAAACTCCAACAGCATGATCCACTGTTGAACATAATGTATTATTTATCCAGCTTCGCATTACCTACAGAGATATTCAAAGCAGTTGTTCCTGGAAACTCATATAAAGAGTTGCATGTTCCTTTATTTCTTAAAAGGAAATAATTTTTAAATAATTGCTCATATAACTAAAAAATAAAATAAAACAAAGAGAGAGAGAAAGAGAAAATAAATCTCCCCCAAGGAGGAGAAAAGACCTTAAAAGAGTTAAAAGAAAAGAGGTGAATTCTTCCTACCTTTTATATCAGCTGCTGGGTAACGGAAGTTGGTTCCGGCCAAAATAACCCTGAAGAAATTGTCACCCTTTCCCCTTTTTGTTTGTTTTCTGCTGTTATTTTCTATCACTGGTTCTACTTCAGTCTAACTCAAGCTTTCTCTCAGCGTCACTTTTAACTCTGGACAGCAGGGAACCGAAGAAAACGGGGGCGAACTCTCTCTGATTGGCTTTCATTCAGTGCTTCTGATTAAGGGAGGGGGGCGAGGAAAGGGGAAAAAAGCCCTTCCTCACTGGAGAGAAAGGTTCTGCTGATGGAGCTGCAGCACTCGCCATGGGAAGGTTAGAGACTGGAAGTGCCGGCTCCTGCCAGCACACAGCGATTTGCAAGTGAATGCGAGGGAGGGCGCATCCGAGAGGAGGGCTGCGCATGAAAGGCGTCCCCTCCCCCGCAGGGCAGAAGGACTCTCTGTTTCCAGCCTAAGGTAATCATCCCCATCTAATCCGCCTGTGTTCCTAATAAGATCCTGAGAAACTGGGATCTGCGATTGCTTGTTGCAATTAATAAATTTAAAAAAGGATACTTCCTTTATTTTTTCTGACATAGACAGCCCTTTTCAATCCTTACACTAGAGTACCAAAATCCAAGTATTAACGGAGTGCCTTCCAGTGCGTTAACACCAGAAAATTTTTTCTTTTGTTTTTATTTTCAGGTTTGAACATCTATTTTTTGTTGGTGGTGAACTTTCTTTTCTAGATTCTTCAAATACCTTTTTGTGCGATTTATTGCTATAAGGAAGAACACACCTTGCTCCTCAATTTGGAATGTCTCTGGGCAGTTCTGTGTGCTTAATCGGTCCAGCTTTGCATGTAAATGTGTCATTAACAATTTAAATATGTAATTAGTTACATTCAAATATTTAGATTTTGGAGTTAACACAATTTCATTTTTTCCCTTTTAAACTTTTTTTTTTTTCTCATAAATGTGTTTATGCCCAAAACAGTGTGCTGACTGATACAGATGCATTTGAATGGTTCTATCTACTTATCAACATTTTAATTGTCCATCTTCCTATTTATCCATCTCTACATTACATCTCGATCAATGGAAATCTAACCAAAGGATGTCAGTATAGGTCCACAAAATAGTTAACACCTTTATGTTTTTCTGACTATATGGAGATTTATTTTGAAAATGTCACCTATAAATAAAGTTACATATATGTAAACTATAAAAATAGAGAAATTATGAAGACCATCCTGTACAACTATGATTTAAAAACAAAATAATGCTTAGAATCTTAAATATAACTTCAGTGACTGAGCTAGCTAGTAGCAGGATTAAATCTATAGGACTCGTATTCCCAATCCCAGGCTAGAGCTATTTCTAGTATGCTAGAGACCTCTGGAAAACATTTGATCTCTCAACAATCAGTAGACCCCTTTCATACTCAACATAATGGAAAAAGGACATACATAGGGAGGGGTGAGAGACACTCAAATTTCAAAAAACATTTAGTGTATTGCAAGGTTGTAACACCAATGTTACCTTCTAACTTCATATTTGAAAATACCTTAGGCTGCTAGGAGGGAGAGAAACAGTGTCTTATAGAGAAGGGACTCTTGTTGGACCCAGTGGATAGACCCACTATGAAGGACATTTGGGGACCCAAATTAGACTTGATAAGCTGTATTATATACCTGAGGGAGTACGTTAAATTGGTCAGGAGGACAGTAAGGAAAGGTGCAGATAGGGGAGGGGATCTAAATACCATCAAACTGTATTGCATGAAAATTGCAAAAATTCAATTTAAAAAAAAAAGGAAAAAGAAAATACCAAACATTTCCACTCAACTAAATAGAATTCATACAAGAAAGAACTTTTCTCTAAATTTTATAGAAGAAGGAATTAAGATTCAGAACACTGAAATAACTACGTTAAAGTTCAGTAATAGAGTTCTCACAGTAATATCTACAACATTTGTCCCCAGGATTTTTCAAGAGCCCATTGCCTTCATGGTCATTTAAAAAAAAAATCACAGTCAGGCATGGTGGCAGATTCCTTTAATCCCAGAGGCAAGCAGATTTTTGTGAGTTGGAGGCCAGTCTGTTCTACAAAGAGAGGTCCCTGCCAGTCAGAGCTACATGGTGAGACCCTGTCTCAAATAAAAAATAGAAAAAAATCCGTATTTACTTACTCTATGTACTATTACTAATACTGACACATTAAAGCTGACCTCCAAGATATAAATTGCATAATTTTAAGATAAGTCTGGTGGATTGTGTACATTTGAGCAAAATTTTTAATATGAAAAACATTTAGACAGTATTAAAATGGGTCCAATTAAGAACATATTCAAAGACGGAGAGCTAAATATCCAAGTTTTATAATTACTGTACCTGCTGTGATAGTGTATGTCCAAATAAGTGTCCTAACAAAATTTTATTCTGCTCTTACATAAATTTCTGATTGGTATAATTGCCTTGCCACATGTAACCATCAGAAACTTTGATTCTGTTATGTCAACATTTTTAAGGAATTGAACTCATTTATATGATAAAAAAGAGATGACTCCACATTTACATTCTGAAAGCAGTATGGAGGAAGAGGAAAAGGATGGTGACTGCCATTAGAAAATGAGGCCCAGATGTTCACATTACTGCATATTCTCATTGGTTAGGAAAGACAGAGTCATACGTTGTTGCTGGGGGGCTTGTAGAAGTATTTATGCAACTAAAGTCATCAGTGTTCCTGAAGGCAGCAGTGACAGAACTAAGTTGAACACAATAACTACAATGCATGTTATATCATGCATTTTATGGTAGTATATATTACATAATATACTGTTTTAATGTATTTATTTGTATTTCATATGTACTAGTGTTTTGCCTGCATGGATGTGAAGGGCACTCATACATGCATTGCCAACGAGACCAGAGAGGGTGTAAGAGCCCTTAAAACTGGAGTATGGATGGTTGCTAGCTGCCATGTCAGCACTCGGAACCTTACCTCAGTCCTCTGCAAGAACAGCCAGTGCTCCAGACCCTATGTAATATACTATTTAAGATAAAAGAAAAAAGAATTGTTTAAATTCAAAATTAAATATTCTCATAATGATATTCTCTTTTATGCATAAGCAGAACATTCATGAATTTCTAAGTTCAGGTGATAGAGGAAAGAGAGAGATATAGACAGAGGGAGGGAGACAGGATGTGTAAGAACTCTTCCCAATTCCATTAATACTTCCCTGGTCCCCTGGTAAAAGTCTCAAGTTCCTCCTTCTTTACATCTGATGCCATTTACCATTCTGTTGTGTATTTTAGTAGTCAAAATTAGAGCATAAAATAAAATATAGGCTAAAAATTAAAACCTTAGTAATATGGCTTCTTTTATTATGCGGTATCACTTTTCAATCCCTCCTTTATTTTGCTCAACAAATGAGTTAATATGGAATTCTGCAATGTACATTCGTTTCACTTGAATTTTCCTAATGTATCTAGAAAGTAGTCATTGCCTGAAAATTAAAATAAATAATTAAAAATGTGTAGGTATAATAAACTCTCTGGGAAGGGGATAAATGGGTAAATACCTCACAGAGATGGCTGTTCATGTTGGGGAACGAGTCTTGTCAGTTAAAAGAAAATAAAAGTAAATGTAAATGTTATATGTATATATTTCTATTTACACTTTTAAAATCAAATGTAAATTGCATAGACAATGCTATAATCATAAAATACTGAGGAAGTAAAATAGCATCCTTCTCATTGTTGCAGTAAACATACCCTGTGAAGGCTGATGCCTTATTGCAAGTGTGAAAGACTAAATTGCATTAAAATCAATAAAACAACAGGCCTCCCATCCAAATAGAATTACAATATGCATTAAAAAAAAAAATGCCATGGCTGGAGAGATGGCTCAGCGGTTAAGAGCACCGCCTGCTCTTGCAGAGGACCCAGAATCAATTCCCAGCACCCACATGGCAGCTAAAACCATCCTTAACTCCAGTTCCAGAGGAATCCAAAGCCCTCTTCTGACCTCTGTGGCATTGCACAACACAGGTGCACTCACATACATGCAGATAATACACTCATACACATAAAATTTAAGAAAAAAAAAAGCCAAGTTGTTGCTAAACATTAACCCTAATACTTTAATATGTCACTTGCCAAGCTTTGAAATGAATAAATATATAAATAAATAATGAAATAAAAGCTTCTCAGTCAGTCTTTCCTGATTTCTTTGAATGTTATGAGAGATAATGCCAATTTCAACCTTCAGTGTCTTTCTGTGGTTATGAGACAAGAGTTGTGAATGTCCACACTACTCCATTATCCAGAAATATTTTGGCACAAAATTTGTATGAAAGAATATTTTTTTTTTCTCTAATCCCTGACTAGTCAGACTTTTAGTATAGTAAAAGTTTGGAAAACTAAAAATTATAGTTTTATTGAGGTAATGTTCAAGATAGGACTAGGGCAGATTCATTTACAGATTTGTTTTCTCTATTTATTCATTTTTTGAGACAGGGTCTCCCTATAGCTCCAACTGCCTAGAATTCACTATGTAGACCAGGTTGGTCTCAGTCTCACAAAGATCCATCTGCCTCTTCCTTCCAAGTGCTGTATCTAGAGCGATGTCTGCTGTATACCATTGAACTGTTCTGAAATCAGTCCCATGTAACCGTGTCTCTCCATGTTCGAAACATGAAGAGGAGGATGGAACTGAGGACACAAAGATGTGTTAAAGTCAGTGATGTTTTAAAATGTGTAGTTATTTTTTCCAAAACGATTCAAGTATTAAACAATATCCGATCATGAATTCATTTTTTTCCACGTGTTTGGGTCTGGGGGCAAGGTGGTGAGCTAGCTGTATGCTTTTGGTAGAAAGGGCAGTACCTGCTTTCTGAAATTTCTCAGATCGAAGCTAAACTACGCTGCTTATCATTTTTGATGCAAAAATGATGGTTGTTTACTATAGATTTACAGATAAAGTAAATCCTTGCTTCATAGAAAATGGGGGGCTTAATAATTTTCATGTTGATTGAAAACTGAATTCTTACTCTCGCTGTCAGCTTTTTTCGCCCCTGAATAAGGTCTATGTAAAATTTGTGAAACAGTAGTGAAGGGAAAATAATCATTGATGAATATTTTTTGTGGTTGTGATTTAACTTTATGCCTGAAGGAGTAAACAAAAGAGAAACTTTTGGAATAAAACTAGTGTAAAATAATAAATTATGTGTAATGTGTTTACAATTGCATCTAATGAACATAAGTATGATCTTTTATTTTTACATTTTATTTTAAGTTGTATTTCTAGTGCTGAGACTGCCCGAGTGCTAAAAGGAAACTTTTTATCAATATCGCCGTTCTGAGAAGGCATTCTAAGAATTCTTAGAAGCTTTTTAAGAAAAAGGCATTTTCAAATAAACAATTTATTTGAAAAAAAATCAGACAAACCACAGCTATTATCATTTCATCTCCCCTA